GTTACAGCGGCCAAGAAACGGCAGCTAGAAGCCAGCGGCCAAGAAACGGCAGCGGCAGCAGCGGCCAAGAAGTCCCCGAAGAAGAAGGCACCGGCGAAGAAAGCCGTGAAAAAGCCGCTAGCGAAGAAGAGTCCAAGAAGACCCCCGTTAAAAAGCTCAAGGCGGCCAAGAAGCCCGCTGCCAAGAAAGCTCCGGTAAAGAAAACTGCAGCCAAGAAGACCAAGAAGTGAAGCGGCTCTTTAATCCAGCACTCAGTGCACCAAAGGTTCTTTTAAGAACCACCACAGCTTCACTAAAGAGGCTTCCTCATTTATTAGTACAACTTCAACACCTTGTTACACAACAAACCCCTCTAATCATAACATCTTTAATGCAGTGTGTACTCTATGTTAATATTAGAACTTATATGTTCTATCAGTGGTTCCCAAACTTTTTTCCTTGGCGCCCCCCTATTTTTATCTAAGAAAAGCTGAGCCCCCCAACTGCTGACAAAACAGGCACACAGAAAATATGAAATTACTATTAGCGAACAAATGGAGTCAAATGACACCTTCATGGCTGCTCTGTGTAAATCAATGTCAGCTCTTGGTTGGCCTTCAACAGAAAAGGGGTTTATAAGGGTAATATTTACAAAATATGGCCTACAGTTTGCACTAAGTGTTTTCAACATATACTTACTCGGGTCGGAAGGTATAGTTGCACCTGCCAAAGGTATTTGGCACAACACTTTAGCATTTTGCAGAGAAACGGTGAAGGAGAGATCAACTGGTATTATGTGTTTTAGATCTCTACCAGAATGTTCAAATTCCAGGCTTCTGGTAGCAGACTTAAGCTTGAGTAACAACAGTCAGGGCCCGGAACAACAACAAGAACTTTGATTTCTCATGTATGGCTAGATATTTTCTAGTGTTTGTTACGGCGAGTTATGTTTTGTAATCTTTTCCCCAAACTTTATTATTTGGTAAAAAAAAACATTTATAGTAATTTAGTTTTTTCTTTGCCCTTCAACCACTTTGAGGATTCCTTTTAAGCAGTCCATTATGTAGGTATTTTTTAAAATACTTTTATCAAAGCGACTTACAATTGCTATACATGTCAGAGGTCACACACCTCTGGAGCAACTAGGGGTTAAATGTCTTGCTCAGGGACACAATGGTGGATGTCTCACAGTGGGAACCCTATGCGCCACCACACCTGAAATATAAAATAAGGGTAATCTTTTAAGCAATTTAATTTGTGGATAGAATATTTGGATATTAATCAATAAATTAATTGATTGATTTTTAATTAAGTAAGTTATGTCTGCTGAGAAGTTGATTAAAAAGTAAAGAGTAATACATGAGACTTTGTTAGTATATCTCTGTCAAAATCAACCCAAAAAGTAGAATGAAAACAATCTACAAACGGTCCATGTGTGAAGTATAATTCATCTGCAGTTGTTAACATTGTATGATGAAAAATGCCAGTTTAGCTGGTATAATTTCATTATCTTACTTGTGCTAATGCAATTGTATGTTGACCCATGTGAGTTCATTTTTCCAGAGCCGATACTGCCTAAACTATGTTAGAACTATGTGTTGTCGTCACGTTGAATGTAGATGTGCAATGTAATTTAGCGCACAAAAGCGTCAGCTTGTTCCATTATTAAACTGAAAATTGACCAAGAAAGTCTATAATCAGAAACAGAGACCGCTCGCCTTCAAAGTAAAACGCCATCGTTTTTTAAAGGAATTAATTTAAGGAAAGCTAAACTTGTAAACAAATGGCTTATCCCACCGGTAGAAGAAGCTAGTGAGGGTAATCACCCATCCACCTGAAAGAGCTGGTGATGCTCTTAGTCATAAAGGCAGGACAGCGGAGCTGCTGTCATCTGGGATCCCGAGACATGGCGGGGCTGCAGAGAGGGCCGCCAGATTACTGACTCTTGGCCGATGTCAGAGCCAACAGCAAAGCGTCCTTGGCCGAGAGGAACTTCAGGTCCGGTCTCCAGAGGCTCGAAAGAGGCTTTGGTCATGCGTGGCTGATGCAGTGATAATGTGCAAGACAGCTGCCGGGCACAGCCGCAAATAGGTTAACACTACACACAGGGTTGTGTGTGTGTTGTCCACACGAAGCGTGATGTCTACTTCTACAGAGTCAGAATGAGGAATAATAACGTTGGTTACGTTTCGTAACCCCAGATTCTATGAGTATAGGCGTGGCCCTCTAAGAGCTCTCGCTACTGGGTTCATCTCTCATGGCGCTTTCAGACCAAAAGCGAAGCGAGCGTTTGGGGCGGTGTGTTTAAATACAAAGTCAATGCAAAGGCGCGTAGAGCCATAATTTCCTGTCGGGCGGCGCGAAACAACGTGAAGGAAGGAAAAGTCGCACGACACCTATCAGTGTTGACATTGTCCGTACGTCACCGATGGCTTCAGAGCAGGGGATTGAAAATCTGCTGGCCGGCTGAGAGCTGCTAAACGTGGGGGAGAGGAGCACGGAGCAGTGCTGCAACCTTTGGACAAATAAACTGTAGTGGGTCAGATTCTGCTCTGACAACTACGCCGTTTACTCGCGGGAGGAGCCCGGAGTTAGCTGCTTTTATTAAATTAGCTTTTACTTTAGTTTTTGGGATTATAACGTTGATTTATCTTCACTGGAGCTTCTCAGCATCTAGCTTCTGTGCACATCCGGTTCCAGTATTGTTGTTAGCGTCGTTAGCTCTGTCGGACTACGACTTCATATTTATATAAAACCGGACAAAACTGGACATTACTTGGAGAAAACAAAGCGAGGAGGTTGAACTACCTGGTGAGTTTATTCCAGCTATCGTTGTACTTTACTGTGACCAAGTTAGCATAGCATAGCCCTGATCGATCCAAACTCCATTCAGAAAACAAACATTTTAGAAGTCGTTGTCCTGTTGTCTGACAGACCTGACAAAGCATGAATTCATATGTTTAACAAATCTGCATCATGTCGTTATGTCGGCATCAGTTTAATCCGTTTATTGCTATTTAATCACAGCAAAATGTTTACTTTGGGTTCATACAGCTAACGTTATCGTGTTAAAATCGCCTTCTCGCGTTGTGTGTGAACACTTGCAGTAAATGTAATCGCTCACCCCAAAAAGCATTTTTCTTCAGCTGATGCTGGTGGGACCAGTCGTGCCCGCAGCTTAGAGGGCGAGGCAAGGCAAGTTTATTTATTTACCACATTTCAACAACAAGGCAATTCAAAGTGCTTTACATCAAACATAAAAGCAACACAGGGAAATTGAAAAAGAAACACATTAAAATATAATTTTAAAAGGGTGAAATAGAAAATAAAAACAGGATAATAAAATAAAACAGGGTAAAACGGGACAGTTTCAGTGCAGTGTACAATCAGGGTCACGAAGGCATCAACCTGCCGTCGCTTCTCCTCCACGGGCAGCTGTACTGCACAGTAGGGAAACAAGGCCTGAGGTGTCAGAGCTACGCCAGCGTGCTCACAGCAAGGGGAGGCAGGTCTCGCAGCGGGCGTAGAGATCAAACCCCGTGATGTAGCCGGCATGGTAGGACAGGCAGAAGCGGACTCCTTCTTGGCGGCAGACCTCAACGGTAGAGCGGTGAGTAGCCATAGGAAAATTGCTTTTTAGACGCTACTCTGCTCTCCGAAATCACTGCTATGCAGCGCTGAAGAAAAAAGGGGAGCAGATCTCTGGTCTTGCCGGTATCATATACCCGATATGCGGACCTGAGAGAGGCCCGTGCACGGCACATGGGCGCGAAAGAAATCATCAGGACTGCGTTATGCGCGTGGGGACAAACCCAGTAGCGACAGCTCTTAGAGGGCGAAGCCTATACGAAAAAGAAATGTTGTCATTTTGGCGCTAAATCGAAATTGAATTGTTTTATTTTAGTTTATTACAACTTTATTAACCTTCACTTAACTACTCTGTGTCATTTCATCGTCAGCAGTACCTTTGTAACGTACACTATTGTTGCCATTATATGTCTTGTCCTGGGTATTGATCAAATTCAGAAAATGATTGTTTTTATATCATTAATTGAAACTGTTGTTGTTTAACTCAGCGGGTCACTCGCTCTCAACTGTGCAGTCAGTGTTTGAACCTTTTTGTACATCAGTCTGTATTGCCTATACCTCGACTACATTAACCAAAACACCTGGATTGGCCCAGATCTCTTATTCAGTGTTACTTTATACTTTAAGGGTTAGGGTTGGGTATTACTATGCATTGTGTAATGAAGGCAGTTTTGTGTTAAAACAATGACAATCCAATAATACAATACAGGTAATAGGGAATATGATAGCATACTGCGCTAAGGTTCCACTTCAGAAAGTACAAAATTGAAATTAGTGAGCCATTAAAAAGCAACCGATGGCAAATCATAAGCACAGTGTTTACTTTTTTATTGTGAATTCATATATTGTTTTAAGAAAAATGATCAATCTTATAAATGTAACATGATATCAATGTATTATGGACATCGGTCTCAGTTTGTAACATTTACAATCAACCTACATTTAAATTTGATCTGTTTACCCTTCAGTCAGTGGCGTTTTCTCACAGATTCAATTTTGTGTAAAATTATACCCTGCACTGTAATAGCACAATACATTAGATAATTGCCCTCCAAAAAGGACATCCCCTCTCACTTGGCTTCCCCAAAAATTTACCCCACCCCACGCCACTTCCTTCATTTCAAGTCAGACAAGTTCTACATTGCTTTTACCACTAATAATAATAATTGTTTATTAATGACAGTAGATTAAACATGACCCATAGAAATTAAACTGCATCAGTTCATCTGTACAATAAAGCTACTATAGTACTAAGAATTTTGTTCTTATTTTTTTTTCTTATTAAATACATAAAAACAACTGAAATAATAGGCTGCGAAAGATGTGGGAGGAGTTAACTCCGCCCAGCGGAACTCGCGCCTTCTGTCCTCTTTTACGTCCGCAGACAAGATGTAAAAAGCGCGTGTCGACCCTCAAATTCATCAGTTTGTTCAACGAGTAAAGCTGAAAGATGAGCGGAAGAGGCAAAGGAGGAAAGGGACTCGGTAAAGGAGGCGCTAAGCGTCACCGTAAAGTGCTCCGTGATAACATCCAGGGAATCACCAAACCCGCCATCCGCCGTCTGGCTCGCCGCGGCGGAGTGAAGCGGATCTCCGGTCTGATCTACGAGGAGACCCGCGGGGTGCTCAAGGTCTTCCTGGAGAACGTCATCCGCGACGCCGTCACCTACACCGAGCACGCCAAGAGGAAGACCGTCACCGCCATGGACGTGGTGTACGCTCTGAAGAGGCAGGGCCGCACCCTGTACGGCTTCGGAGGCTAGACCCGGTCCAGACCCGCTGAAACACAAAGGCCCTTTTAAGGGCCACACACCTCATCTAAAGAGTCTGTCCTGACTCATGAGCTCAAAATATTTGTATGTTTCACATCTGGTAATGAATCAACTTGCCGCAATTAAATAAACGTATAAAGCTCCTATATTTTATGGATTTGACTGAGACTACTTGTAAAGTGACTTACATTAAAGGAACAAAGTATGAAAGCAGCAAAAGATCCCAGGTGACAATAGGTTTCCATTAGTGAGAGCTGTTGGCATGAATGAGGTAAATACCTTCCAAAAGAAGTGAGTTAATGAAATGATATCAAGACAAGAGAAACGTAAGGAGACGGAGCACAGGAAGGGCAAGAGTTGAGGGGTGTTATGAGAGAAAGTGTTCTTGGAAGAAACAAAAGCTTCCCCCCTGCTGTGATGGCGGCTTGAGGCGGAGAAAAACAAAGGGACAACCAGCAGCAATCAATAAACAGCTGACATAGGAAGACAATTGAGAACTCAACCAAGGAATAACGCTTTTTGGTGGATTATATGTTGGGACTTTTATGGACTACTGCATCACCATGAACATTTGATCTGATGGGACATTTGTGTTTTGGGGGTTAAATGTTATTTGGTGCTGACGTTGATTTGGATAGACATTTGACTAAAATGAATACTGACTATAAAGTACTCACTACAAATGAACAGACTGAATGATATTTTTGACAAATGTATAGAAAAGGGAAGAACCTGTGTAATCAAGGGTTGTCTCATGTGGGACAATCTGTGTACTGCTTATTCTTAGAATATGATTGACTGGCCTATAGGTCATAAGATGGTGCAATATCATTGTGTTTGAATTTGATATCTCTAAGTCTTCCCTCTTTATTTGGTTAACTTGTGTAATGGGTCTTTTCTGTATGTTAAATAGAGAAACACTCACAACACTCTTTAAGATTGAAAATGAGATCAACATGTTTTATTTACTTGTATCTTGTCAAATATTTGACATGAAATAAACACAACAGCCTACATGGTATACAGTACTTAAGATTATTCTTTAGTTCTATTCTATTATTTGAAGTCCACTGAGATTTAAGTCTCTTTTTTTTTGAGGGAGAAGTTACTAAGAAAGAACACCATTACAAGGTTACACAAACTATAAAACTGAGCATGTCAAAAACACAACAGATACATGATACAAAATCCAGTTCAGAGGCGAGAACAAAGAATAAAAGTATTCATTATGTAAAATGGTCCATTTTATTATGATGTAGATGAAGCTAATATGAATGATTTTATATTCTGCTGGGTAGCTTGTGAATATGTCTCTGGTGTCAATAAAGACTAATAGTAGAATGAATTCATCAAGAACAGAAACATATAATCATATAGCCTAAGGTTCATGTTACCAGAGTCCTGACTGCTCAGTTTCAGCATGAAGTTACTGATCAATTGATGCCAACTTTCCTTCAGTAACAGCACAACAACACATTTAATGATACAGATGTTTACCAGCTGCTATAGTATAAAAAAAAAATATGAATTATGATGATATAAACTTTGAGTGGTGCGTAATGGAGAAGTTTTCTTTAATCATAAAATATAAATTACAGCAGGAAGTGTGTCTTCAGTTTGAGATGTGTGGCTCTTAAAAGAGCCGTTGTGTCGTTTGTGGTTGTTGTTGTTTACTTCTTGGCGGGCTTCTCGGTCTTCTTGGGCAGCAGGACCGCCTGGATGTTGGGCAGCACGCCGCCCTGAGCGATGGTGACTCCGCCCAGCAGCTTGTTGAGCTCCTCGTCGTTGCGGACGGCCAGCTGCAGGTGACGGGGGATGATCCTGGTCTTCTTGTTGTCGCGGGCGGCGTTTCCGGCCAGCTCCAGGATCTCAGCGGTCAGGTACTCCAGCACCGCCGCCAGGTACACGGGGGCTCCGGCACCGACGCGCTCCGCGTAGTTTCCTTTCCGCAGCAGCCTGTGGACACGGCCGACGGGGAACTGCAGCCCGGCGCGGGAGGAGCGAGTCTTTGCCTTTGCTCTGGCTTTGCCTCCGGTTTTACCTCTTCCAGACATCGTGTGATCTTTCTAGAGTAAAGACTCAAAGAAAATGTGGCCCCGGCAGCCAAAACCCTCCTTTATATGTCCGCGCAGCGCGCGGGACGGTTTCTTCCAGACCAACCAGGAAAGAGGCTTCCTGCAGAGCAGCAGAGGGCGGCCCGCTCTGCGTTTAGGCGGAAAGTTTGAAGGGATTTTCCGCCAATAAGCGGCGGAGATTCAGGCGGTGGGTCGCTCCTCTAGGCGGTGCTGAGCTCCAGCAGGGGCCCCTCACCAATCAGGAGCCGGAGGTCTGAAGCAGCGTCACCGCTTCGCAGCCGGTCCCGCAGTTTAAGAGCAGCGCGGCTCCTCTCTTCACTACACTTTTCTCCTGTTGAGAGAAACGAGACGCGATGGCCAGAACCAAGCAGACCGCCCGTAAATCCACCGGAGGAAAAGCTCCCAGGAAGCAGCTGGCCACCAAGGCTGCCCGTAAGAGCGCCCCGGCCACCGGCGGAGTGAAGAAGCCCCACCGCTACAGGCCCGGTACCGTGGCTCTCCGAGAGATCCGCCGCTACCAGAAGTCCACCGAGCTGCTGATCCGCAAGCTGCCCTTCCAGCGCCTGGTGAGGGAGATCGCTCAGGACTTCAAGACCGACCTGCGCTTCCAGAGCTCCGCCGTCATGGCTCTGCAGGAGGCCAGCGAGGCTTACCTGGTCGGCCTCTTCGAGGACACCAACCTGTGCGCCATCCACGCCAAGAGGGTCACCATCATGCCCAAAGACATCCAGCTGGCCCGACGCATCCGCGGAGAGAGGGCTTAAACTCCCCCCACACCTCTTTACACCACAACGGCTCTTTAAGAGCCACCTCACTAAAGCTCAAGAGCTCCTTCCTCTGATCATGTTCATGAAAACCACTATATATTACTGTTCAAACACTGATACTCACATCACAACAAGAACATGTGTCTTATTTACAGAAACTTAATATTTCAGCAACATGTGAAGTTCAAATAAACTGAAACCAGATTGCTGAGATCAGCAATTATGACTTTATGACCAAAATAAATCTCCTTCACATCAGACTGCTTACAATATGGGAAACTTCTTGTTTTGAACAAATGATTTGCCTCATTTTCAAGATTTCTCTTAGAATCAAAGTGTTAATAATAAAGTAATAATTGGCTACAGCCTGTGAGAAGTTAATTAAATATAAAAATTGAACAAACTGTATTAGAGGACTCCCAAAGAGAGAACACGACTAATAAACTAAATTTTTACTGCATCAAACTGAAACCAATAACCACCAGAAAATAATTGTTCTGATTTAGTGAGAATCCAGCTTCCCATCCAACCTGCAGAAGGGCCCCTGATGAAAGCTGCAGAAGGGCCCCTGATGAAAGCTTCAGTAGGGGAGACCAGGTACAGGTGTAACACCAATAACACATAAGATAGTTAGGTGATCATTTTAGTTGTTACCTTCTTCCTCCCTGATCTGGCACGGTGGTTATCAAGTTTTTGAGGTAAGAAAGTACATTTTTCTGACCAAGACTACATTTTTGTAGTACACTCCAAAAACAACACGTGCAGAATTTAAACACATGTACTGAGTGTGTTCAGGGACAACACGCGTAGTGTCGAGATGTGTAAACTTTTTTAACAGAAATGTGTCATTTCAACACAGTTTTTACAGGATGTGTGAGCCATTTTAACACAAGTTGTGTCGGGTCATTTAACACACCATGGCGTAGCTGACGACCCGAAAACTGCAAACAAACGTGTAACACAAGTAAATGTTGTTGCCAGGAACTAATGGAGAGAAAGATATGTGAAATGTCGACAGGCTACAGAATACATGAGCACAACAAAATGTTTCCTCTCAACTCGACGCGTTCGTATAACAAAAAGTTTACCTGAGCTTTTGATTTGGGATGCAATAAAAAATCTAATAAATAGCAAAAGCATGCGATGATTTAGATGACTACATCCTAACTGTAGCGTTACAGTACATGGGAAGTGTTTCCAGCATCAGTTACAACCGCTAGGCTGCTAATAGTGCAAAGACATTTTAAATACATGTACAATAAAACCTTTAGAATCTGATCTTTAAATTTTCAGTTACATTCACTGGGGAAGTTACATTTGTCTGAAAACAAGTCAAAACAAAATGCTAAACTATACTAACCTTGGTTTTATGTTGGGTAAACTCAACAAAGATTTAACAAAGATCTGTTAGTGAGGGTCACGTTCAGGATCACGGAGTTACTACTGATCATGTTTTACAAAGAAATAACATTTTGTTTCCGCCCGGTTTCGAACCGGGGACCTTTCGCGTGTGAGGCGAACGTGATAACCACTACACTACGGAAACTGCTGACCTCCTATAAGCCCCTCCTTCGCATCATTCTCTACGGCAGCTCTCATCACTGAGGGTGTCATATATTTTTGGCCACAAGCGGGATTTTGGTGGCGCTGTTTCCCCCTTTTGGTCAAAAGTAAGGAGATCAGAACAGACAGCATCTGTTCCAGCAGCAGACACATAAACACAAGAAGTGAGATCTGAAGGTTTATTACATTTAGTTGTCATGCATCATGTTATTACAACATAATCATCATTTAAACAAATGTAGGGTAGAGTGGCTCAGTGTCTGTTTTCTGACACATTAAAGAACATTTTATTGATTTTTTTGTATCTTTAAGAATGCCGTGCTCACGGCAACATATTATAAAGTAAAATAAATACCTACAGTTGACAAATTAATGTGTATTTGATCAAATGTATTTTTCAGGAAAAACGTAGGCCTTTATTCCACATGGGATAAGATCTTTCTCTCTAAACAATTGCATAACTCATCTTAAGGCTCCCCTTAATGTATGTATATATATATATATATGTATGTAACAGCTTCACATTAACAAGAACATTAAACTAGCAAAACAGGAGTAGGCTTTCAGTTTGGACTAGTCACAGGATTATTATTGTCTGAGTAAGCACATTATGAGCAATGTACAATCCAGAGTCAAATTCCTCGTATGTGTTCAAATTCCTGGCAATAAAGCTGATGGGCCTACAATGTAGCACTGATCGCTGTCGTTCAGGGGGCCTTTCTCATTTTCCAAACTTCGATATCAGCACGCCATCTTGAAGGACATCTCAATTCTTAAAATGCACATCGAGGAGGCTTGCTGGAGAAGCTATAAGCGAGGATACATCGCTGTATCCTTTGCGGAAGTCTTTTCAGCCGCTGTGATATTTACAAGAGGCGTGACCAGCAGCTGGACCGGAGCAGGACGCTGCAGGGTTCCTGTTGTTGCCTATTAATTATATTGTGTAGCGCCTCATAAAGCGCTGTTCTAACCGCATTTCTTAATGTCGTTTCACTTTGACATCAAGTTGTTATTGTTGAATGTGATGCAGGATTGTAAAAATGAACAGTAAATAGCGGCTGGATGAAGCTTCTCCCCAGTGACACTGTGCGCATTTACGCACGAGCCACAGCAACACAAATTAATAATAATAAATCTCCGACACGCCGACAGGGTCGGTTCGGTCAGGATCTGGTGTTAATTCATGTTCTGTGTTCTTCTTCACATCCAAAAGGTCTCACACAGAGTCCAGGTTCCTACAGTAAAAGTGTTTGGAGTAAAGCAGCCATCCTCCTGATCAGTCCTGAGCTTCATCAGAGTCTAAACGTGGATTATAGAAGCTGAAAGTTTCATTCTGTTTCCTCTCTCTGTCCTGTCAAGTTTATTACTGCAAGGTTTTTCTGTTTTGTCCCACGATATTTGCTGTGACATTACTGCACGGATGGAAACGTTTAAATGACTGACAGCCGCCTTTCTAATCATCTAAGTGAATCGTTAAACATTCATACATCAATATAACACACAAGAAAGAAACCGCCTGGATCTACAGCGACCGGTGGAGGTCTCTAAATCTGACAAAATAATTAGTTGGTGGGGGGCGGGTGGAGGATTTATGCCCATAGGCTTAATGTCCGAGCCGATCCGCGCATCACACCAATTCAGCTGCTATAATCGTGACAAACAGCTGCTGAAGTCAAATTATTAGGCTGTAATATCATCCAGAGCTAAATGATCTCCTGTTTACAGACAAGAAGCGCTCCGCAAAAAAGTGGTAGGTCTAATCTGCTGTGTAGCCTGGTGAATGAAGGTGATGCGTTCAGGAACTTACTGGAAAGTGGATCAATTTCAAGCTGTAACCTGCTTCAGTACATCCTCAGGCAGCAGACGGCTGACTCCGGTCCACCACCTGCTACACCAGCTACAGTCACCGCTACATTGGCTGTTAATGTAAACATTTTAATGTAAGTTACTTAATACACAAATTAACATTGTTTTGTTTTTGCACCATCTAAATTTGATATACTGAAATTTAATATAGCCTACTGAAACGTGAAAAAAAATATCATTATACTGTTACGGGACAGGATAAAAGTCTAATGTCCCCTGTGCGTTCAGGGCCACCAGCAGCAGTCCCCAGGGCCACGGCTGTGTCTCTATCAACAGATCAGTGTGGAGGGAGGATTCTGTTTTCAGCAGAATTCCCCTTCCATTACTATTCTGTCATATAGTTTGTTATTTTGGTCGTGTTCTGGCCTCTTCTAATGTTTGTGTTCTTTATTTCCTTTGGTTGAAAAACACAGCTTAGGCATTTTCACATAAGTCATCCTCTCACACCCTCAGTGTATCTCACACTTTTTTTCACTCTCATACATGTAGTAGCCTACTCATGTTAGGCATTGTCAGGTAATGTAAAACATCTGGCTAAACCGAAGAACACCAGCTCCCTCAATACCTGCCCGGAGAAGGTTTTGGAGACACAGCAGCCGTGGCAGTTTGACCACAGGCAGCCAAACGGTCAGTGTGCCTGTCCAATCCTGCCTTCTGCAACTGTCAATCCTCCACCTTCAGCTCCTCCACAGGAGGAGTTACTGAGTCGGGATACAGATTGTGACAGAGATCCTGGAAAAGCAGCAGCAGCTGAAGAAGAGGATGACCAGGAACTGTTTAGCTTGTGGGCAGCCAGTATCTTGGGGATGGATCTTCACTTCAAAGATAGTAAAGTACTTTTACTGTTTACTAACTTTAAGGTCAATGCGGATGAGGGCCTCAAGAACCCCAGGATGTCTTTTGAAGACTTTGCTGCCTCTCCGTTTGTTGAGCAGGAGCTGGAGGCTGCCAAGCAGAGGGGAGCCAAGTGGAAAAAGGTGGCAGAGGAGAGGGCAAAGAGGAAGTCAGCAGTGCAGCTGCACAGGTCGCCTGTGCAGGTCCTGTCACCAGCCACTAAAGCAGGCCCCTGACAGCCCTCAGCCCCGGTATGCCAGGGAAGTAAATCTACTGCCCCTCCAGAGTGTTCTCCCTGTACAAGGCACAGGGCATGGTTAAGGAGATGACCTGGGAGGAGTTTCTAAAGTTAAGCTTTTACAAGGCTGAAAGGGACAGATGGGTTGCATAAAAGAGGAACTGACTGCTCTCCCACATACCCACCCTCTAACACACTCACAATACAGCATAAAGCCATTTTGGTTCCACCTGAAGGGTCTGATTTGTTCATGGCCAAATCATTCAGTTATTTTATTTTAGTTCCATTCTTTACCTTCACTCAATTTCTGGTCTGTGTAAAGCCATCATCATCATCAGTAACTTATAAACACACTACTGTCCCTGTTAGAAGTCCGGGATAAAATCAGATTCAGGACATGATTGTATCCATATCATTCATTGAAACTGCTTCAGTT